GCGTTACACCTGGCTAAAACACAGCTCTTATTGTAAGTTTTGCAAGTTGCCTCTAAACTGTTTCTGCCTTTTCATTGTTCTTTCTTGTTTTGTTTGAAAGATAAGTTATACTTAAGAAAGGAAAAGGAGAGAAATGATAAGGAAACATAAGAAAGAAAAATGTAAGAACTGATAAGGAAAGGAAAGAAAAGAAATGATTTGGAATTATAAGAAGGTAAAAGGAAAGAAGGATAAGGGAATATTAGAAAGGAAAATGATAGACAGATCAGGGAATATAAGAAAGGAAAATGAAAAGAAAGATAAAAAGAAACTAAGAAAGGAACAGGAAATATAAGATAAGAAAACACAAGAAAGGAAAAGGGAAGGAAAGATAAAGAAATATTAGAAGGGAAAAGGAAAGAAAGACAAGGAAGCATAAGAAAGGAAAATGAAAGAATTGATAAGGCAATTATAAGAATGGAATAGGAAAGGAAAGATAAGAAACTATAATTAATTGAAAGAAATGAAAGACTTCAAAGGAAGGAAATAGAAACAAAAGGGAAAGAAAAGTGGAAGGGTTCGGGATGGAAAAGGAATAACAGGCTATGAAATAATAAAATGTAAACAACACGGTATGGAAAGAATCTCTAAGAATTGCTCTGTGGGTCAAATCTAAAAAAACAATTACCAAACTATTGTAATAGTTATTAATTAACTAAATTAAAGTAAACTAAACCCCAAAAAATATATAATGTATAAATAATTAACTGTACATTTGTACATTAGTTTATGGTTTATTTTTTTTCTATGATGTTATTATTATTATTATTATTATTATTATTATTATTATTATTACATGACTATATATAAGAACGACTATGAATATATATGGGCATTAAAAATCTTTATCAATGAAAATTTAATAACCTGTACAGAGAGTGAATGAACGTTGTTGTTATATTATGTTGAAAATTAAGATTATGTCAAAAAATAACGTTAAACACAGCATTGCCTTGGCACAGCAACCTTTGCAGGTTAATTAGTATACAACTGTTATCCTATATCGGCTCTACAATGTTTTGAACATCAAACAGCAGTGATGTTAATTTTACGTAAAAATGCTGTTTTTGTTGAATGAAGCAAAGTTAGGTGGAGTATTATATAACAAAGAAAAAAAAAAGAAACAAAAAGCTGGATTTTGTCAGCAATATTTGCTTTGCTCCGCTACTAGACACTCATTCGTAGACTCCCTTAATTTAGCCTACGACTATGAACAAAATTAAGAGATTAGCAATATTTTAACTTTTAGTCAAGAGGGCGTACATCAAAAACCAGGAGGAGAGCCAGACCAAAACAAAATCAGGATTCAGGCAGGAATACAATTTTTTTTGTGGAGAACGAGTGTGTCGGACACGCCGGGTAGTGACAGTGGGGGCCTAAATTGTATATTTAAATATGTTAATTACAGCTTTTCTTGCCTTCTATATTTTTGCTGCTGTCGATGGTGATTCACTTCAGTTAGTGAATGTGGTAAGTAACTGGGATGTATCGTATTTCATGTCGCCTAAATTAGGGCCTAGACTACCATTGCAAGGCCTAGCCTACCTCTGCTCTGGCTAGGCCTACCTGCTTAGTTAGGTGGCCTAGTCCAAGCATACAAGGACCTAGCATTGTCAATGACATTGGGTCAGTGCTATGCGTTGTACCAAAAGTGCCCTGTCTTAAGCCAGGCATAGCCTAATAGGCGTTGTTTGGGTAACTATTGGTAACATCTTCCATAAACTATCCTATAGGCCTATATGGCTAAGGCTTAACTACTAAGGCAAACAAATTTTTAACAAAAACATAAAGAATTTCTTTTTTTTCCAGCTGGCACTGTGGAATAATATAAATATTAATTAGGCCTGGCCTAAATACTAAATAGCCTAGGCCTAATTTTATAGCCTTTGGTTTGCAGCACAAATATTTATTTGTCTTTAAAGAGGATATGACACACACAGGGGTCCAAGACCAAGTTGAAGGAAATCATTTCCAGGAGCTAGATCTACAGCAGCTGATCCAGGAATTCAGAAAATAATTTTCTTTTTTTCCCAATTTTTTTTTATAATTTGGAAAATTTTACTGGCCACTCCCCCCACCCCACCATCATTGTATCCTCATCACTGATCTGCAGTGGTTAATGACTTTTGTTATCAAAACTGCACACACAGTGATACCCATCAGCACTGACTTCCATGAGACATTGATGATAAAATATTAAAAACATGCAAATGTTATGTATTTGCAGTGAGGTTTTCAGGGAGATTCTTGCTTGCTTGCCGGAGTTCGGAAGGCTATCCCGATTTCCGGGAGACTCTCTTGAGTTCATGAAGACTTGGGACCCCAGCCCACACACACCAACACACACACACCCACACACCCACACCCACACACACACCCACACACACACCCACCCACACACCCACCACACACCACCCCCCTCCCCCCACACACACCCCCACACACACACACACACACACGCACACACATACAAAAAGAAATTTTCAAATATTGAAAATAATGTAGATAAAGATTCAGTTTAGGTCAGCAAAATTTATCATTTTATTACGTAAACTACAATTGCAGGTGTACCGCCATGGAGACAGGTCTCCTACAAATGCCTACCCAAATGACCATTACAAAGAGGACCACTGGCCACAGGGATTTGGTCAGCTTTTGCAGGTACTGTATAGTAATTCAGTTATTAATTTTATTTATGTGTAACCCATGTATAATTCTTATTTTAGAAATTTGTTTAATTAGAATAATGGTTGTTTAATTTATTATTGTTTTTATTTTAATTAATATATTGATATAATATGATTTTTTTAAAGTATTATTCTTGTATCTTTTATACAAAATTCCAAAATACATAAACCAAATAAGTCTTACAAAAATGCATTTGCAGCAAAAGCTAAACTACTGTACTTTCTTACAAGTGAACCTAAACAAAAAACCTTCAAAAATATGAAAAGGGTAGAATGTTGCAGAATTCCATGGAATTTTCCTCTTTGTCCTCTTTCACATGTTTACGCTGTTTGACATGTACTACCTCTGCATTCATTCATACTCTTGTCACACAAACTCATTCGATGAGAGAGCTTATTCAATTGCTGCTCCTAGACTTGGTATGGTTTGCCACAATCTGTTTGTGAAACTCTCTCTGGAGATTTTCAAAACTAAAAAACTTAAAACTTACTTTTTCAGCTCCATTTAATATTTTCTCTCTGATTTTTACTTTACTTCTTCTGTTTTTGGCTTTCAGTGTTCTTTCTTTTCTGTTATATGCTTTTTCACTTTGAAATTGTTTACCGTTCTTTCACTTTGTTTTTTTTTCTGAGCACTTCCACCAGGAAACAATCCCCTACAGTAGGCCTAGACTCTTTTCTGAAGAGTGTCAATCAATCAATTAATCAATATACTGTATTAGGAATAACACCTTAAGATCGGTGGCACACACAATAAGTGGTGCATCCAAAATAACAGTTTTTACAAACAAAAAGCAAGCTTAAATCTAGGCACACACAAACACAATTAAGAAATAAAATGTTTAACTTAATGCTAAAAAATACAAAGAAACTTAAACTAACACAATAAAAATTCAAACGATCAGGCCAATATAAAGCATAAGCCTGTATATCCAGCAAAAGCAAAAAACAAATATAATTTTTAAAATTATAAAATAAATGTCAAAGTAGCACCATGACTCTTAAATTGCTTATTAAATTACTGTAGATGGTTTTAAATGGTTGTGGAGAGAAATGAAAATTACTATATTCTTAAATGTGCAAATGGGCCACATTACACATGGGACCAACAGCATGTCTCACACGAAAGACGGTGCTCTGACTAGAGCGAGCTAATTTTTTATAATTTCTGTTTATTTAATATTATTATAATATTTTGGCGACCCAAAGTTTGGGGGACATTGTTTTAAACAATTTTGAAAATAACCATAGCAGTTTGAATTATAGAGATTTTAATTGTAGGGTAATTTTGAAATTTAGAAATATCAAAGACATTAAATTGATCAATCATACAAAAAGTAGTAGTGGATTTCATATGGCTTTCATTAAACATGCGCATATATTTTTCTTTTCTATTGTGTCTATAATATTGGTATGGTATTAAATGAACCTGTTTATAGTCTGTTCATTTGTATTATTAATTTTAACTGCTCTTAATACCATTTATATTTTGAGAACAAACCTTTATGTGCGCAGTTAGTAATTTTCCATTATTTTTATTATAGTCTGGTATGGTACGACAGCATGAGCTTGGCCAGTTTCTTCGCATCAAGTACATAGATTTTCTCAATGCAACATACATTCGCACGCAGATTACAGTCCGTAGCACGGATGTTGATCGTACACTCATGTCAGCCGCCTGCAACCTTGCTGGACTGTACCCTCCTGCCGGTCATCAAATATGGAACAGCACGATCCCATGGCAACCAATACCAGTCCATGATGTTCCAGTTGCCGAGGATTATGTATGTATTCTTGAATACATTAAAAAAAAAATACAATTAAAATAATAAAGTACGTATAATAAAGTACTTCTTCTTTTCGAGATTAAGCCCACTGGGCTTCCATTTGAGGTGTTACGGTATAATAAAGCAAAAAAAAAATGTTTTCATATACCATATCAGACAGTATATTTTAATATGCATCATTAAATGATGCTTATTAAAATATTATACTGACTTGAGTTTGTGGTTTCAATCCCTCGCTGTGTATTTCTCTTAAAGTGTCCTTGAGCAAGGCACTTTATTTGCATTGATTCTCTTCATCAGGATTATAAGTGGGTAGGCCTACAGTACTTGGTAGGTTAAAATGGCAAATGCGCTGATTAGCTGCAACGCTATGGAATATATTCCCCCAGGGAGCTGAGTATGTGTTCCATAGGTGTTTAACTTAATGGTTGGTGTAATTTATGCAATTATTTTTCCATGGTTTATAATAATTAGAGTAATGCATATGCATTTTTTCTGAATAAATTCTTATTTTAGTGTAATTTAACTGGAAATGGAGCTTTGAATGCTTGTGGTACACCACATACTGTACATAGATCTAAACAGAACTGTTGTTTTCTTGAGAATGACTAAATGTTTTGATTGAGTTGTTTCAATTGGTCATCAAAAGAACATTACTTTCCTGGTGACGATTGAAGCAACTCAAAAGTCGAGACATCCTCAACAAAACAACAGCTCTTTTTAGCAACTCAAGCAAAACGTAAAGATATTATTCTCAACAAAATAACTGTTCTTTTCAGAACTATCTTTGTGGTGTACCGCAAGTATTTAATATGTTATTATTTTGGTATGCAAACTTTCAAACAATATCCACCATATTTAGTAATTATTATTATTATTATTGTTATTATTATTATAATTATTATTATTAATATTATGATTATTATTATTATCATTTAGTTCATTGGATATCAGCCATTTTGTTTTTGAGAAAACAGATTCTAAGATCAGTAGTAAAAATTGAATGACAGTTGTTGTTGATTCTCTGTTTATTAGTTACTAAGAACAGATGGGGTAAAATGTCCACTCTATGATAAATTGTATGCAGAGGTGCTGAATAGTCCAGAAGTGAAGAAAGAAAATGAGGATAATAAGGTATTTCTATTGTATTACCTAATTTAGCTTTTTATTTGAATTGTAAATATGGAATTGATTTTTCCTTTTATCCATTTAACCTTAATTTGAATTGTAAATTGAATTGTCTATTTTAATTTTTCATATATTGAATTTTTACCTTTTATATGTTGCAGTGTATAAACAAAGATTTTCTAATGTATTTTTTTTTATATTGGACAATGAAGGATTGAATTGAATTTGTGAAACAAAATCACTTTTGTTATTGCTATTATGATGTTAATATATAAAGTTGAAGTTGTCTAAGTTGACTTTGCCTAACTCAAATAATTTCTAAGTCAGTCTTATTTCACATGCCAAATTGTTGTGTTTTCCGTATTTAAGTCAAATTTTATCTAAGTCAAACAAGTTTTTCAAATGCCATTTTTGATTCGACTTGGTTTGAATATAGACAAATAGATAAATAATAACAGTGCTTGTATAGGAACAAATAAATCATATCAAGCATAGCTCATCAGCGAAAAGTTCCTTTAATTCAGTTTTAGAAAAAAAGTACCTCTGGCGAGCTTTGAACCTTTTAACCTCTTGCTATCAGGGCGAGTGTCATATCCATTGGACCGTGGAGACATATAGATATACATTCACTTTCTGTCATAAACCTGTTACTGAAATGCGCATGCATAGTGGAGCTATAGATAAGTTTATAGGTCGCAGCTTGGAAATCATTTATTAAATAAGTTTATTCAAGTAATTTTTACGGCATAGCCCCGTAATCACAATATAATCTATCTTTATCAATTATTCACAAAAAACTCATTTTGCACCAGATGTTGAATTATAACATATACAAAATTGACATTGAAATTCATTAGAAAATACATCAAAATTCATGTACTAAATTAGTGTACTACCATATTGCTCCATCTGTTTTTCTCTTCTCATCAATCTGTGTTGATTGCATTGCTCTTTGTGATGATTTGCAAATACATTGTAAGTTGAGTGACACAATGGCATTTGCAGCAATCCTATCGAGTTAAGTACAACTGAAGAGTTTAGCAAATAAAATATACATACTGTATTCTTATTATCTCTTAGATTAGAAACCTAATATATTGGATTTTATTCTTACTTGTACTTAAATAGACTAGACTATCAAATTTTATTTGACTAAAATATGTGGCATGACTAAATATGGTCATGATGACATCACATTATGACCATATATAGGCACATCATGACCATATATGGGCATACAACAGTTTTTTTTTTTATCAATCAGTTATCTGATAACTGGACAGAGCTTTACCAGAAATTGACATGGACAAGTTTACTTTACTATTTTTGGAAAATTATGTGACACATTGAATTGAAATGAATTTATATAATTTTACTTAAACTGCTTTAGTACTTATAAGACTTATAAAACTGCTTTAGTACTTATAAGACAGTCTGAAACAAACTCTGCAGAAAGTGCTACAGGCCATTTTTAGTTCCTTTGTGACCTCACATGGAACTAATGTAATAGTTCACATGTAAAATGTGTGTATGAGATGTGCAACCAAAAGAGGTCAGCATATTTGTAAACAAATAGGCTCCGAAACGGTGCATCGCGGCAGGTATACATTGTGCTCGATAGTTGCTGGTGGACATGTAATTGTGCAAGAAATGTTTGTTTTTTCGTTTAGATATGAAATGTAAGCTGTAGGCGATAAAACATATACCACATACCACCAGTTTTGAGTCGTTTTTCGAATGCATCGGGTCAAACTTTCCCGACATTTTGTTTCTTTCGCGAGCTGCCTAGAAAAGTTCTTTATGTTGTTTTCGCGACTGTCAGTAAACATTGAGCAAGCTGAAATACTGTAGTTGTGGCATATCAGCCACTTACCTGTGCTATTATTTGAAGGTATTCTGTGTGTTCTATTAGTGTTTTAGTATACTTTAACGGCTAAGATTGACGGACCTGGTGTACCTAGGCCTAGACACATACTTAATGTAGGCTTCTTTTTGGGCGACACCGTCGGACCTGGTGTAGGCCTAGACACATCTGATATACTATACCGTTACGTAAAGTAGGTTTCTTTGCCTACCACCAGCCTACCGTCAAGCAATAAAAATCAACATTTGTGGAATTATTTTCCAAGAAATGATGGGTAAAACTTCTGGACACATAAATATGCAGCATGTGATGGACGGACGAACCTAAGGGTTGGCGGGGGCAGCAGGTGATGGACGGACGAACGTAAGAGTTGGCGGGGGGACGGGAGTTCTTCAAATGATGTTTGGGAAAATTATGGTCAGAAAATACAGCATCTGATGGACATTCCCGGGTGGTGGAGAACCTTAAAATTATGGACACATAAATTTATAGCATAGCTTCATCAAATGATGTTTGGGAAAATAATGGTTAGAAAATACAGCATCTGATGGACAGTCCCGGGTGGGGGAGAACCTTAAAATTATGGACACATAAATTTACAGCATGTGATGGACTGACCGTCTATACACATATACAGCATGTGATCAGGGGTGGCGCCAGAGGGGGGCTGGAGGCTATAGCCCCCCCGTCGGGGAAGCATAGCGGAAGAATGAGGATTTGAAAATAAATTAAATGGTTACATTGCATACTCTTTGTTTCTTGCTTTATTCAAAATGTTTTGGTTTTGGAAGCTGGTGTCAACATTAGAAAGCATAGCTTACATGAAGTCATATTATAGCAACACAATGCCTATCAAATAAGTAATAAAAATTCGCCATAATTCATCAAATATCCGTGGCTTGTAAATAACCGGGGGCCCTAGGCGGCCCCCCTGGCCCCCAGCCAAGTGAGACATGATTCGCTCCACTAGCCCCCCCGTCGGGGCCTTTAGCCCCCCCTGTCGGACAGGTCCTGGCACCACCCCTGCATGTGATGGAAGCATGTGATAGACGGACGGATGAACCTGAGGGTGGGTGGGGGAGATTTCAGCAAAACATTAGTGATGGAGGCATGTGATAGACAGACGGACGAACCTGAGGGTGGGTGGGGGAGATTTCATCAAAACATTAGTTGTTGAGGGGGAGGGAAAACCCTCTAGGACCTGTTTACCTACAAAGCAAAGATCTTATAAACACAAGATAGCGTTCTCCGCGATTTACGTGTGCAAATTCTGTAATAAGGCATGAATGGCGCCCTCTTGCTAAATTGGAAACTTTTGACCCTTGACCGCTCTGACCATACCGTACATCGCGCGACTTTACCTTTAGGGTATCAATCCTATGAACAGCAGAACAGGAAGAATCTCAGATCCATGGCAACAGATAGGACGCCCTCTTCCAAAACTGATACTTTTTCTCTTTGGTATAATAGCGCATGAATGGCGCCCTCTTGCTAAATTGGAAACTTTTGAACCTTGACCGACGCTTCTATTTGTTACGCGTAAATCGCGGAGAATGTTATCTTGTGTTTATAAGATCTTTGCTACAAAGGAACACACACACCTGCAGGGTTCTGGTTGATTCTTCAAATAATTTAAAGACATTTTTTTAAAAACTTTTTTGCTACTTTTATTTTTATACAGTTTCCCTTGTATTTTTATTGTCATTTTTATGTTATATATACGGATCTTGTCTTCTTGTGAATTATTGGCATTGTATTGTATTTAATGGCTTTAATCTTTACAAATTCCTTTATTCCAGGAGTTCCTGGAGTATGTTTCCGAGATGGCTGGGTATAATACAACTTTAAAAATATCTGATTTGTGGCATCTTCATGACCCAGTATTTGTTGAGGTAAGCAGCACATGTCTCCCTCCAATTAAAGACCACTTTTGGGACCAGGGTTTTCATGGTCTTAGCAGCTTTAGTCTTTAATTAGAAAAGGAAACAGAAACATGGTCTTTAATTGGAGGTGGTCTTTAATTGGAGGGGTTTTTAATTAGTGGGAGACCTGTAATTATTAAAGGTAGAATAGCTACAATTTTCTATATCAACAAACTGGTGATAGATAGAGACACAACGTGCTGAAAACATGATTTATTTCCTATTACTAACTAGTGACAACTTGTTATTATCCATGGTTATTGATGAAAAGAGAAGAAAATTAAACAACAAACAAATTCTGATATTGCGATGTCAGAAACGTCGCTGACAGCTTTTTACTATGCTGTCAATCCTAGGCCTAGTTTGATCTAATATAATAAATACTAGGCCTAAACCCTCTTTTTAGACTATATTCGTAATCATAGTATACATATACTGACTGTACCACAGACGTTCAATTCTGTTGAAGGCCTAATATATTGTAACTATAAAACGCTTATTTGTTAGCCTTAAAAGATCTCTGTCCCTGGCCTAGGCCTAGCTAGGCATAGGCCTATGTGATGAATAATTGTCACTCCTTGCATTGCTCACAACAGGACTTTTTTACAAGGATTTTACATGGATGTAAAGTGTACGTGTGAATATGATGAATCTCAGTAGGAATATCTCGGGATATATTCTAGTAACAATTTGTTACATTTTCATACATTTCATTCTGCCGGTGAATCTGGTATATTAGCTATTAATTAATATTTTTTTATTTTTCCGCAGAAATCTAATAATTTAAGCCTGCCAGATTGGATAACCGACGAAGTTTTTAAAAACCTCACTCTGTTGTCAGACATTGGTATGGTAAACTTGTTTAAAGGGAAAAAAATTAGCAAGTTAAAAGGAGGTGAGGACCCTTTAAAATTGAAATGAAGAGATGGAGGCATAATGACAAAAACACAAAAACAAAACGATGTGTTTTGTGAAGTATATAAATATGGCACTGATGTTAGCTACAGTTAATTTGTTAGAAATTGCATTTCATTTTCCTTATTTTTGTGTGCCTCCTTCAGTGAAATTTACTGGTCAGATATTAAAAATGCAGCTTTTTCTCCTTGTGACACGGGTATAGCCCGCCCTCAGGTATAAGCCTTTTTGTGTTTAAGGGGTGAGCCTATACCTGTGACAGTATGTAATATTGAATGTTGTTATTAATATGATATTTTTTTCTTATATCAGGCAATTTAGTGCAGCAGATGATTAAAAACATGAATGAGAAAATCAATCCAACAGATTCAGCATTTAAAAATATGGCGTTTTACATGTACTCTGCAGTAAGAACTATCATCATTTATTCTGCACTATAAGACCAATTAAAACAAAAATTAATATAGCTACACCCCCCCCCCCCACTTCTACCACCACTCTTTCATCTTTTTATGCTGCCACAATTAGTCTTCCTTTTTCCCAGAATTGTAATTCTTCTTAAGCCATGTTTGTATTGGATATTTTTTAGTTAAACTACCCATGTACAGTAGCTGGTCACTGTGAACATGAAATAAATTCAGTGTCTCCTGGTGTACTGGCCAATCCACCACCAGAAGACCCCACTGGAAACAAGTCTTCAGACTTAGTGGGTTATCCTTGGGGTGATTCACACAAAAATTACTCCTATACTACTCCCAAGGCAGTGTATACAATCAAGATAAGGGGCGCAATTAAATGGCAAAAAGAGAATAGCAATCACAGGCTGTCGCAAATCTTCCGCAATCGGGAAGGCTCCCACACTCCTGAAAGCAAGAATCTTCTGGAAAATAACAAATCTCTAACAAATTCATGATAATTTGGATGTTTTTACTACTGTATTATCAATTATCTCCCATAAGTCTGTGCTGATTAGTATCACTTTAAACAGCAAAATAAAATTAGATGTGTTGATAAAAGCTTATTTAAACATATCTGCCAGAAGTTGCATATTCCCACTTGGGACCCCTGCAATCATTAACAACTTAAATACAAGTCTCCCTCTAATTAAAGACCACCTCCAATTAAAGACCACTTTTTTGTGGTCCCAAATTATCGAAAGTCTAATATCTTTAATTATTCTAATTAGAGCTCAAGGCTGCTAAATACCATGGAAACCAAAAATGGTCAGTAAATGGAGGTAGACCTGTACAAGTATTTAAAATTAAGACAGAAAATAAAAAATAAATTAAAAAAAATTGTAAAAAAAATAATTTAAAAAAAAAAATAAATAAATAATAAAATAAATAAATAAAAATAATAATAAATAATGTATCTTCTGTTGTTGTTTTTTTTTTCGTTATTGCTCTGTGTAGCATGATACAACTTTAGCTGCATTCTTAACAGCGCTGCAAATCTACAATGGTATTCAACCACCTTATGCTACTTGTGTTGGTGTTGAGCTTTGGAAAAATGATAACATGTAGGTAGTTTTCAGTAGTTTTTGCCTTCTTGATTACTATTTATATGAAGTATGTTTATTTATAATCTAATTTTTTTTAAAGGATTTAATAGATATGGAATATGTAGATAATTGCTGTGAATTGTGTATATTATTTCTTTCATATTGTAGTTTTAATTGTTTTACACCCTGGTCAAATTATAGGATCTTAGCAATACATACATTAAGAGTGTATTATAACAATAGAGAACTTACAATTGCATGACGATGGCAGGACGTAGAACATAATGACATCGCATAAAGTCATCTCAGCGTGTGAGAATGTTGAGTTCTCGCGGTGGCGTGAAATCTAGGATATGTAGAGAACATAGAATGCCCAGTAGGACAGTCACGCATAAGTGAATCCATTCTGGCGTTGTATTGTCACGCATATCAAAAGCTTCCTAATATTTTTTTTAGGAAACTTACAACAACCTATTGTAGATATTGTAGTACAAGTGATCTTTTTCCTAATAATAATAATCTTTAATTTCAATTTTTTAGATTAATTTAGACCTAGTTGCAACTTAAACTTAAATTTGTATTCATAAACAATGTAGTCGAAGTTCTAAGTACGGCTAAATCAAGTCCTAGTTGTAGTTCAGCTGAAGACTTCTGGCAAGCAAAGACTACCAAACTAACCAATAAAAAGAGCTCAATTTAATAGCAGATGAAATTTTAGAGACTCGGTAACGCGGATGAATATTAAGCTGCCGTCTGCCGTTTAAAAACATATTTCCTCATAATTCATAATATTAGATAATCATTTGCTTAATTAGTTTTCTATAATAATAACCATATTAATCGTTAAAATATAACGATAGAGAATTTGAAGTCACTGAAAATTTGCTTTCTTGGAGAAATATATAGTTGAGTCCAAGCGAGGGCGGCGCCATCTTTGTTGTTGTTATGGTGAAGCTACATGACCACAACACAAGGGAATTTTGTGCAGATCAGGAACTATCGCAGGTGGCTAGCAAAACATGTTAATTTCGCCTTTTGGAAGCTAAACTTGACTTCTCTTTTGTTTAACACACCGAAGATATATCAGACCTACGTATACAATTTGTTCTTTTTAGTCTGTCGTGAGTTACAAAAAACATGTTTTTAGTGGGGTAAATATTTCAAGACGGCGATTTAACCTGACCCTAGGCTGACTAAAAATAAATTGGCTTGCGAAGGTATAATTTTAGTCCAGGTTCGCGTGATGTAGTCGTAGTGCTAGTCGAAGTTTCGTTTTAAAAATAAAATGACGTATTTTTTAAGTTTTAGCTTGAACTGCGACTAAAGTTTGTTTTAAGAATACTGGGGTTTCAGTTTCTGTTATTCACCTTCACATCACATCCTTAAGATGAATTACATGAGATTTACACAGATATCCTAATTAAAAGTTAAAAACGAAAACCAACAAGAGCACAACAAGATTAAAAGATTAAACATTAAATCTTAAAGAGGCTATTATGGTTATGGGAACGTTTTGTATAAGCCATTTCGGCCCCTAATTGAATAATAATAATATAATTTATGATGTTAATTGTACTCAGTAAATATATTTCTTCCGTATCCTGGATCTCTTCAGTATAAGTGATGTTATTAAGTACCCTTGGTCATGAGCTGGTTTAATCTGGTCATAGGGTGTGGTGCCATCTGTTGTTGGGCGTCATAATGTCAAAGTGATTTATGCATGAAACTTTCTTGAGTTACTCATGCACATTAATCATAGACTCTGAATTTAAACACACATAGAAAGAGTAAAAGAAAACTAACAAACGGAAAGAGAAAACAAAAAACACACCACACATATGAGAATTATAAACAAATAGTAAATAAAACAAAAGTAAATAAATGAGAGAGATATTATATAGTAGATTTGGTCCTTTCTTTTTCTAGGTACTTGTGAATTTCCCCATTGCTCTTTGTTATTTAATCCAGGGTTGGATTCTCCTATCCTAACAGCTTCATTAACATGTCGGAAGCATAGGGTGTCCGGGATGTTTTCTCAATATAGTGACATTTATGTTGTGGTGTGTCCCATTATGTTCTTTGGTCATGTGTTGATGAAAGACTGATGTACTTTCTCTTTACTTCTAAATGTTTTCCAGCCCTGAGTCTTAAAGAGGCTAAATTGTCTAAAAAGTGGAAAGAGTTCCTGTTTTTTAAAACAGTCAAATTTAATAATAATAATAGTAAAAGCAGTAGTTTCTACTGCACTTGTTAAAATAATTAGCAATGGTATCGCACCATTCAACATAACTGTCTGAAAGAAATTTTTTTTAATATTAAATAATAATGTTAAATTTTATTTACAGGCAGCCGTATGTGAAGATATGGTACAGAAATGATTCAACTACTGACCCTTATTCCTTGACTCTTCCGGGTTGTAATGTCACTTGTCTACTAGATGACTTTAAGCAGTTAACTAAGGACATATTACCTGGCGAGATAAAAGAAGCTTGTAAATTGCCTAAATCGGAAGAGAATGGTAAGTTTCAATTTATTTAGTATGTGTTCTTTATTCACAGGTGAGGACATGATGAGTTTTGCCCATTTATCCCTATCGAGCATTGTATTAATGAGAACAGGGCCGTACAGTATTGTGTCTCATTCTGTTGTGTTTTGATGGTGATTTTAGCATAGCCTCTTCTGCAAAAAGCAGTGGGCGCAATTAATGGGAACCCAGCGTCTCCCACCCCCCTCCCCCAAACTTTTCAAAATTATTAAAATATAGATAAAAAAAGAAGTCTGCGAGTACCATTTCTGGCCATATAGAGGTGTGCCCCCCGGGTGGCTAGCTAGTTCATCATGGCAGATGTAATGCAAAAATGGGCTGAATTTTTGTAGAGTGAGTAAACAGTGTCTTTCTACATTAACAAATATTTAAATAAAGAAAGGAAATGATGCAAGCAATTGTAAAAGCAGAAGGAAAATGGGACTTTACGCTAAGCTCCGCCTCTTGGATATTGTTGCTAAGACGACAGTGTTAAAACATGGAGGAATACATGTGTTTTTGTGGGACAACACATGCTTGTTGGACACGTTCTGATTGGTCAGTTGTCACTCTCTGGAAAGGTCCATTAGACAGAGATCTCTTAAATTAGCTACAGTGGATTCACAGAAATTAACAATTAAGTATTTACCTGGTATTTTCACTGTAGGAATCTTATAGTAATAATAATACAGATAATTTAGTAATATATAATAAAATTATTTTGTTCTGAAAAAAGTCATGTTTGGTTGTCATTCTGAAATTGTGGTTAGAATAATCTAGCAATCATCAGCAGAATAATTTGTATAATAATGAGCAGTTAAACTTCTATTTGGAATAAACATCTTTATAATGTACTCTAAATTATCTTGGTTTTATTCTGTAAACATACCAGTAAAAATATCAATAATTATATACAATTTAGAGTATGCATATTTAATACCATATTGTTTTTGTTTAGGCAAGACTTTTTTTATACCTTGCTTAGCAAACCAGCTGTCTGCCATTAATAATGAGTTGGAATAACAATAACATTTTGTATTTGGCCTATTTGCGCACCCGCTGCCACGAAAAAAATGGGAATTTCAGAAAAAAATAAAGGTTTTTCTTTATTATTATTAGGTCTGGCGCTGCCTTGAAATCTCCAAAAATATGACATGTACAGTGTATTTCTTCCTACTTATATACAAAAATTTAACCATCCCATTACCATACTGTTTACATTTACCAATAAAATTTTATTTTTATTTTCTTCTCCATGGATGTTGTTGGCTAAACTATTTGCTAAATGAGAAAAAACACAATTTAATTTTTTTTCCCACCCTCCTCTGATGAAAATAAGTTCGCAAAAAAGGTATAAAAAAAGTCTCGCCAATATCAGTCAATTTTTATTTGATAAAATTGAGCAATTAAAGATGTTGAATGACAACTTTTTTCATTCTTGTTACAGAGTACCTGATTCCAATAGCTGTTGGAGGATCTCTTCTAGTTTTACTTATCATTGCCCTTCTGCTATTCAAGGGGCTAAGGAACCCAAAATACCAGCGACATAGGGATGAAGAAGAGCGTCCTGAAATATGACAATACAGCCCAGTTCCTGTGGTTGAGGATCTAGAAATGGGAACTGTGCGGCATGCCTAGAAGATTCTATAAATAATTCCATTTTAATTTCATTTTTCTCTAATAATTAGACAAATATTTTCCTTGTTTTTCAATTTAAAAATTTTTAGTTAAGAGGAGCTTCGTTTTTCAAATAATGGTATCTTATTTGGAGAGCAACTGTTAGGCAAGACTATTTTATACCATGTTCCGCAAACTTTTTTATTTTTTATATTGGCTAAAAACTGCCCGAAAATAAAATGTTATTTTTATTTAAAACCACCATCGCCATGGTATAAAAATGTCTGCCTTAATTGCACATTTTTAATTTTTTTTTTTGTACTTGTTCTGCTCTTAAAGCAGATTTGGGGCCCATGGTTCTGCTTATTTTATCACCCATGGTTCTGCCTATTTTACAAATATTACTGTTGTGTGTATGTTTATAAATACATAAGGAAATTGGAATATGTTTTTATGTGCCAACTATATGCCTCAGAAAAGAGTCTAATAACTTGCTCTCTTAGTTATCTTTTTGGAAATTCAAATATGTAATATTTAAATGGAATAAGTTATTACATTGAGATGTTTATTATTAATCCAACAACCCTTGAAATAGGCAAACCTTTTCTTTGTTTATCTTCTTAGAAAATTAAAATATGTTATTTAAATGGAATAAGTTATTTATTTATTTTTTATTATTTATTTATATGTATTCTTTGTTATGCATTTGCAAATTGAGGTAAACCTGAAACAAATGTCTCGGTGTAAGCTGTGTTTATTTCTATTCTCAATTTCAACCTCATTTGTTTTGTATTTCTTAATTGATATGGACATTGTCTAAAAAATGGAAAATTTAAATGGAATAAGTTATACAATAAGATGTTTATTATTAATCCAACAACTCTTGAAATAGGCAAACCTTTTCATTTTTATGCATTTGCAAATAGATGTAAGCCTGAAACAAATGTCTCCTAATATTAATAATTTATTGAAGTTGCACTTTTGTATTACAACAGTGGCACGCTATTGTAAGCTGATTTTTTTAAATTTCTATGCTCACTTTCAATCTCATTTGTTTTGTATTTCTTATTTGATATGGACATTGTCTAAAAAAGGAATTTAATTGTATGACTTTACCAAAATTGAAAATTTATAATGTATTGTTGTTTTGTAATCTTTGTGTGCAATGGATAGTCCCAAGTCTATTTTTTTCCCTTTCTTTTAATGTATCATTTGTAATTTAGCTGCAAAGCTACAATGATGATATTTTGAAATAAAATTTGAACTGCTAGCAGTACTGAAGTTTGCTGATGCCAGGGTGGTGGGGGGTAGTCCAAATTAATTAATCATGACTAGTGAGTCTACAGCACTTGTTACTCCAATATACTGTTAAAATCTGTAAATGCAGCTTTGTATACTATTACTGACTGGCTGTATAATATCACAAAAACATCAATACATCCACATAGTGCAATAACAAAATTCTTGCTTTTTGTTACTGCTAAAGAATCACATGAGCTCTATTCGATCATGCAAGATTTTAAAGTTTAGAAAAGTGACACTACACCTTTATATCGGTGACACTCACAAACGGTGGTTCGGTGTTACAGAATGCAAAAATTTAAATAGGAAAAGATCTATGCTTTGAGACAGATGCAAAAAGCCAGAAATCAGCCTGAAGTTTGAGATGACTTGTAGACAATTTTCGTGTGTCTGTGCCTTTAAGACGACACTCCATTCATACTTTTTCTGCTCTTTTCACATTGATATTGCATTTAGCTGGCTAAAACGGAGTCAAATGCAAGGCTAATCTTCCAAATAATACAATTTTATCGAGTTTTGGTTCATAAAATTGTTATTTCTCCATATTTAAGACTTTGTTCATTCATACTAACATTTAGTGGTTTCACATTGCAATAGTAAATTTGTGTGTTACAAACGATCCACACATACTGTACGACAAACATGATTTTAAAAATCTAAAATTTGTATGCCGTGCCTATACGGCAACCCCGTTTTTTTTTTTTGTTTTTTTTTTTATCGTAATTTGCTATTTCATCACTTAGGAACGATAGAATATGACACTTGCACAATCTATTACAGAATTCCACAAAGTAGCAAAATAAATGGATTGTACAAAAAGAAAACCACTGCAAAATGTTATTTCATACAGTAAAAAATACAAGGAAGGCTAAGAAAATATATTCAATTTTAGAAAATGCAACATTTCATAGATCTCAACCAAAGAATCAAATTCTAAGCAATGTTGTAAGTAAATTACTAAAACATTTTTCGTATATTAATACTAACTCTGAATATAACATACTGTATCAACAC